ACCGAAATCCTTCTCCATTTTTCCTCTTCAAAACCAAAAAAGCCCCAAGGTGAGCTTCATACCCCTATTTTTCGAGTTTTCTTTCTTTTGGGGGAGGATACAAGTCTAGTCTTGTGAAAGATCTTTGTATATTTGCTTGCATGTGTATGTTTTACATGTTATGTGTGTTGAAATGTTGTGAAATCATGCTAAAAGTCCATGAACTCTAGATTTTTGGTTGAATCTCAAGTTGTTGGAACATAGTTAAGTTGATATGTTGCTAAAAATGAAAACTAGTTTCTAAATGAAAAAAAATGTTTTCACTTGATGCATGTTAAAAATCACAAGGATTACTCAAAGAATATGTTTAAACAAAGTTTGGTTATGAAAGCTTGGAAAATAATCAAATATGAATATTTTTGGTAAAAATGGGCCATTTGTAAACATTTTGGTAAAATGGGTTTTTATGGCAATTTTGGTGAAAATGGGTCTTATATATTTTAGTAAAAATGGGCCTTTTATGACAATTTGTGTAAAATGGACCTTATGCGACAATTTTAGTAAAAATTGGGCCTTTATTGACAATTTTAGTAAAATTGGGCATTTATTGACAATTTTAGTAAAATTGGGCCTTTATTGACAATTTTGGTAAAATTGGGCTATTTTTGACAACAATGGTAAAAATGGGCTATTTTTGACACTTATGGTAAAAATGGTTTATAATTTGTAGTTGGAAATATACACTAGTAACATTATTTATAACGTTAAATAATGGAATTCAATATTCGCGTAAATTCCGTTAAGGCTCTTGTGGGACACTCATTCACTCGTACCTACCTAGTGTACATCGTAAGTCATGTAGTTATAACCACAGTCTCCTAGAGGGAGAGCGGGATATTGTGTATAGATCTATACGGGGTTGACACCCCCACACCTGAGTTGTTCCTACAGCTAGACAGACCAATCTAGGGTGACAATTATCTTTAGAAACTGACGCCTGAAGAACGTCAAGACGGACGCTTTAGTCATATTAGTATGGTTGTAACGACTCACATAGAGAATAACAATAATCTTTTAAAAATTTACTCATAACATATACTCTACTCATTTTATAAGGTACAAAACTACGTGTCGTTTATTTCGCAAAGAATTTCACCACTCGGGTCTTAGGGTTTTAAGACCACAACTTTTCGTATAACAGAAAATATAGGATTTTCTGGGAATCACTCTCTATATACTTTCAAACAAGATAAACAAAGAATACACATGCAATTATACATGATTTGAAACGAGACTCACGAACTATTTTTACAAGAAAATATTGGATTTTCTGGAAGTTTACAAACTATTACAAAGTTTCTTACAAACATGCTTATGAACTCACCAACATTCTATGTTGATGCTTTTTCAAAACGACTTGTATTCTCAGGGACTCAGTAAGCAGGTTGGCAGCTAAGGAATTTGGATAATTGTTGTATTTTTGAATTATCATACATTATGTTATTTTGGATATATTTCGTAAACAAACACAAAGATGTAAACAATGCATGTTGATATCGTTAATGTATGGTGATGATGGTTGTTATGTTTCATTCATATTCAATTGTTATGATATTACAAGATGAAGTCACCCGCCCCCGGACGTTTCCGCCGTCCCGTTTCGGGGGTGTGACAAGCATGGAATATGGTTGCGGATATTTGTCACGAGGCTATACATTATTGGTATTGAAAGACCACTAAAGTTGTGATAATAAGTCATCAATTTTATATTCCAACAACAGAAGTTCTATTAAGTCAAAACATATTGACATCAAGTTTCCTTCTGTTAATATAATACTACAAAATGGAAATATATATAGCACATATGAACAAACTCCATGAAAGCGGGTCCGCTCATAAAGGGATTACCTCCGTAGGTCTTTCATGAGCATACTACACACGTTGGTGTGATATTTGGTTTTAGTGGGAATTTTATGGTGCTTTATGTCTTGTTTAAGAATATGTTTTTCTGGACAGAATTAAAAATTCGGTTAACTCCATTATTAGTTGCACTTATTTGAAGTTTGATCTCACTTCAATCTAAAGATGAACTCGTTGGAAATCTATTTAGATTTTAAAACCACACATCATGTTTAATCTATATCGTTAGTTATTTATGTATATGTGACCATTGATAGGTTTAGTTACTTAAATTGTAACGAAAACCGTTTTGATCCTATACTATTATGATTAGTGGACGAGATTGTTTAAGGGTACCAATATTATGATAACATTCATTAAAGCGCTTATACAGTTATACGTACATTTATATATTTGTGGTCTAGTGGGAGATTGTTAGATAATTATGGGACCACGTCATATATATGTAATGTTATCATTAAATCCAGGTAGTATGGTAAGAATATAAATTGTTGATGAACCGGTTTGCTGGGGGATTTAAAGATAGTTATTGAGATCAACTAGAAAACCAAACCCTAGTTTTTCAGATCTGAATATCATAATGAAATCAGGTATGTAATCATTTCTTTAATGTTTAAGTTTTCTTTTAATCAAATTCGAGATTAAAGATCCAAAGTTTATGCTTCCGCGTTTATACTTTGGTTATCAAAATATCCAACATATGCAGGTTAGGGATGTAAGATTATATGATTGTTACCGGCTCTATAAATAACTTAATAAAAAAAATTGCGTTTCTTATACACACACACACACACACCACACACACACACATATATATAGATATATATATATATATATATATATATATATAGATATATATATATATATATATATATATATATATATATAGGGTGGCGTTCAATAGAGAACCATAATTAACCAATGAACCAATCTTTTTTTCAACTTTTAGAACTTATTTTTTATCAAAAAAAAAACTAAAAATACAGAAATTCATAGCTTTTTATCCTTTTTCCAATGATATCAAATTCGAATTTTTTTTTATTTTACGTCAAATTCACAATGTGAATCTTTGAAAATTCACAATGTGAATCCGGATTCACACGGTGAATCCGAAAAATATTTTTCACATTCACAATGTTAATATATGAATGTAGATATTTTTAGATTTTTTTTTCGATAAAGAATAAGCTCTACAAATTGAAAAAAAAAAATTTGGTTCCTTGAAGAACCAATAATTATGGTTCTCTATTGAACTTTTCCCTATATATATATATATATATATATATATATATATATATATATATATATATATATATATATATATATATATAGATATATATATATATATATATATATATATATATATATATATATATATATATATATGCTTAGGTTATTCTATTCAAAGTAATTATTGTGTTATTGTATACATAAATGTGGGCCAATCAAATTTACTTATTTTAAGAAAGTGATTAATATACATTATTGAATTAAATATAATTGAAAATATCATCTTAATTAATTACAAGGGTAATTTAGTCAATTAATATAGATTTAATAAAGGAAAATTGCATTTTTAAAGGGATAATAGATTCTATTAATTTTAAAAATCCGATTTTACGAATTATAATTCTTTTAATTCGGACATTCTGACAGAATATGTTTATGAGTATATTCAAAAATAAAAATATTCTTGAACCATAAATAATAAAAATATTCTTGAACCTATTTCTTGATCATGAATTTAAAAACTTCGTGTAGATTAACAAATTCTTGAAGAATAAATTGAAGAATAAAAACAAAAAATACATTATTTCTTATAGAATACGTGTAACAATTGTTAAGAATTACATTTCTTGTTAAAGAATAAAACTAAAAAAACTTTCAAAACGGGAAAGAAAACATCAAAATCTAACAACGACTAATACATTCTAAAAGAATAAGGTGGTCCGTTTCAATTTTGTGGTCCGTTCTTCAAGCATCAACTTCTGTGATTCCAACAGAATTGGAATTCGTGATTCCATTCCAACAGAATTGGAATTCGTGATTCCATTCCAATAGAATTGGAATCTCACCAATACCCTTATGTGATTCCATTTCATTATGGTTTTCAGGACATTACTACACTCAAACCCAAAGGAAAAAGTGTTCCTCTTCACAATAGATGTTGTCACACGGATTACAGTCACGAAATACAAGAACAATCTTGTTATTTCCCTTATGTACCCAACAAACCAACAAAAAAAAAAAGAGGGCAGTTTCCCATTCGTTTTCTTTCTTCTCCCATTCCTGTGAAAACAACAAACCCAATCAACTCTACAAACACCCATCGATTTTGTGTCAAAAGCAACCCCAAAATATCTAATTTTGTACAACTGAAATGGTGTTCCCTTTACCCTTTCTGAATTGAACTAAAGTGCACTCCTTTCTTCACTGCTAGCCTCAGACCACCCAAACACCAGCTGTTCCCTCTTGTTGTTCCTACTTCCTTCTTTCCTGTCAAACAATCAAACCCATAACCTGATAAAAATTAATAACTTATCACAAATTCCGATTTCAATCTTTGATCGATCTTGGTGTTTCTTGTACGATTCTGTGGTTAAATAACCTACTTGTTTCAATCGGTTTTGTTTGGGAACCAATTTTTATGAATCCTTGATCGTATGTGCTTTGACAAATTCTTTAAAGCGATTGGGTGTTTGGAAATTTCGACTACCAGTGATGAATAGATAAAGATCGGATGAACATAATTGGGTTGTGGTTTTATTGGACAAAACTGTAATGTTTGATCTCACTGGGTTTGGAAGAGTGATGTTGGGAACGATTGAAATCGGAATTTGATCTTAATCGACATGATTTGAGCAGATGTTCTTGGCAGTCAAGGGAAAAAGTCAAAATTGAATTTGTGAATCCTTTGGTACGAACTGTGTCACATGCGAATGGTTGGGGCTTGACCACCTGCGAATGGAATCGATCTCATCTGGGATGAACGACGGTCAAAATCAAAAAGTCAAATTTGTGAATGGATTCACTACCTGCGAACAACTTGGATTCAATATTGGATCTTGGGCTCACACTCGTTCTTCACCCACGAACGTTCGATGACTGTGGTTCGTAGCGAATATGTGCTTGGCTACCTGTTCTTCGGACCATTCGAACACCGGAGGTGCTCACCTCCTTACGACTCCTCCCTCCTCGCAAATCGAAAGACGAAGCGCACCTGCAAGCTTTTGGCTACCTTCATTCTCTGCTTCCGTTCCCCTCTTTCTTGCCCGATGAATCAGCCAGCCATAGAGCCGTTTTTATTCAACTTTCTGTGTTGTTCTTATTTTCCTAGCCGATGGCTTTCTTTCCCAGCCGATTGGTGATGAAGATTGATCAGATCAGTAGACCGTTTATAAAAGGGGGGAATTAGGTTAAAATCAACGTAACTAACAAAATTATAGGGAGTATATGTGGAAGTTATTTCTGAAATTACCTAGTTACCCTTATTGATTTATTTAATTATTGTTTTTTCTATTATTTTTTGATTGGTCCACAATCATGCATACAATAACACAATACTTACTTAAAACACCTGAATATATATATATATATATATATATATATATATATATATATTGATCACATATACGTTATACCTAATACTAACAATACACTATCAAAATACGTTCATTTCACTACAAGACAAATCTGTAGATCATAAACCATCAATTCATACACGTACACGTGGACAGCCATGATCATCCCACTTGATGACCTCTAGTAGGTTCTTATCCTCACCGGCCGTCCACGTCTCCTGCATTATATGGTCCTACACATTATCACCCAACAATAACAAATTACTCAATTAAAATTCATCCCCCAATCAATCCTCAGACTTTTGGAAAATGTCATACCGCACCCTCATAAAATAAAAAATTTAAGGACGTGGGCCACGTTATCGCCTACAAGTATACAGTAAGCTACTCCATGCCCAATTAATTTAATCAATTTTACCACAAACTTTTGTATTAGACCCTGACCCTTCATCTACCCTTTCAGATACTGGTCCAGATTCATCTCTGAGTAAATAGATACACACATTTTCGAAAGGTTTTCTATACATACAACAGTCAGGTGAGTATCTTGTTTGTCTTTCCTATTTTTGGTTTTGCTTATTTGAAAAGACATGATGATTATGTTAATTTCCTTATTTGGTTGTGATTTAGTCCATGTTTGATGAATTTACGTTCTGGGTCTTGTTAGTTTTGTCTTTTTCAAAAAGAAATGGAACATGATTGTTGTTCTAAGTTGTGTGCTCTGTTTTTGATGATTTGAGGTTGCAATGGTAATTCATGAATAGGGCTTACATAATTTCAAATTTTGGCTGAGATTTTGCTCATTTCAAGTTTCAACGTGTGTCGACAATGGCGAACTTAAACAAATTTGTTACTGAAAACTGAAAAGGATTTTCTCTAAATTTGCTACATGTCATTGCTATCTGGTTATTTCGTAATCCAGCTTGATCTAAATCAATTTCTGTTTTATATTAGGAAATTGAGTTGGGATTTGATTTGGGATTTGATTGTATAATCATATCAAGTTTAGAGCATTCAGGGGAGAATTATGAACTTCAAAAACTTCGCAAATCAGCCAACGGATAGCAGAAATGGGAGCGGCCGGCCACCGGGGAACTTCCCGTTGGCGAGGCAAGGTTCCATCTATTCGTTGACCTTTGATGAGCTACAAAACACCATGGGAAGCATCGGAAAAGATTTTGGGTCAATGAACATGGATGAATTACTAAAAAACATCTGGAACGCTGAAGAAATGCAAACAACGGGATCTAACTCCGGCGCCACCGTTCAAGATCGCGGCGGAGCTGGTGGAGCAAATTTACAGAGACAAGGATCGTTAACACTCCCAAGAACATTAAGCCAAAAAACAGTCGATGAAGTTTGGAAAGATTTATCAAACAACGGATTCGGACACCCGAATTTACCCCAAAGGCAACAGACTCTCGGAGAGATGACTCTCGAGGAGTTTCTGGTTAAAGCCGGCGTTGTTCGGGAAGAAATTCAATTATCCGGTAAACCAAATGATAACGTGTTGTTCTCCGATTTAACAAATTCTCAAAATAACAACGGGTTTGGTGCTATCGGATTCCAACAGGCGGTAGGTGTAGGTCAGAATTCCGCCATTGATGATCCTCGTAGTAATCAAATTTCATTTCAGTCTGGAAATCAACAAATGAACGGCAATGGGGTTCGATCTATTTTACCTTACGGAGCTCCTCCCGTCGCTATTCCAAGAAACAATCATTTGGGTAGTCCTGTAATCAGGAATGGAGTCGTGGGTGTAGGTCTTTCCGATCCGATGATGAACAATAATAACACTTTAGTTTCGGCCGCCACTCTTCAAGGCGGGATGGCAGGGATGGGTGGTGGCGGTGGTGGTGGTGGTGGTGGGGTCACAGTTGCCACCGGGTCTCCGGCGCTTTCATCGGAGGGGTTAGCAAAGAGTAATGGTGATACGTCGTCTGTATCACCTGTTCCTTATGTTTTTAATGGAGTTTTCCGGGGAAGGAAAAGCGGTGCGGTTGAGAAAGTCGTTGAACGGAGACAGCGGCGGATGATCAAGAACCGAGAATCGGCTGCCAGATCTCGGGCTCGTAAGCAGGTGAATATTTTAATTTTTAATTTTTAATTTTAATATTTCTTCATTAATAGATTTAGTATATTTTTGTAGTTTTTTAAAAAATTATTATGGTTTAAAGCTTATAAAAACATAAAAAGGACAAAAAGATGGAGAGATTTAGGATACGAATCCGAGGTCATTAAATTCTTGTAAATCCATGGATTTGATGCATGAAAGATTGGTTATTTTATGCGGCAGAGTTGTAATTTGATAGATAGAGATATGCCTCGTGATGAACGATTGAGATGTTTCACACAAGGATGTCACTTCGCATCAGGTAACAAAAAGGCATATTTTAAGTTTTAAGGAACATAATAGATTAGGGAGTCTATAATCTTGAATTAGAACAAGCCACGTGTTACTTCGTTTTCATTAAAGGTCGTCTTAGATAATCAATGTTTAAAAACATTTAAGAGAAAAAAGTAATTACGACAAATTTGTAAAAAGGCTGGAACCAACGAAAAAATTGTGTACCTCATTTAATATATTGAAGATAGAAAGTAATGGTTTATTTGGATAAAACCGAATTGTCCAATTTGACAATTTGGATTGGACTATTTAGTTCGGATATTCGGATCTTTAGATTGGTTTTCAACAAAACCGAATTATTATTTTGGATTTCGGATTGGTTTTGGTTTATAAAATAAGAACCGAATAGTTTAAAAAAACCGAATAAACATTTATTATTTATTTATTTATAATATATATTTATAGTTATTTATTAATTTTGTAATTTATTTTTTCAAACATGTTCAAAACGTTTCATCCAATAAAAAAAACATTAATATGTATTTTCTCTCAAAAGTTTTCTATCTATAAAATATTTAACTATAATATATCTTCTTAGTAGTTTATAAATTTCAAATCACAACTAAATAATTTGTTTTCTCTTATTGTATAAAGTTAAGTAATATTATAAGGGAAATCTCTAGAAAAATCCTAAAATTTTACCCTAATTTACGAAAAAATCTCAAACTAAATTTTGTTTACGAAAAAGCATGAATTACCGGTAAAAATGGCGATTTGACCACCTTTTTTCGGTTTACCGGTTTTATTACTTACCTGTTTCACTAAAGTCTCATTATTTTACCCTAATTTGCGAATAAGTCCCAAAATAAAATTTACTGATGATTTGACCATTTTCTCTATATAATATACATTTTACCGGTTTCATTACTGACCCGGACGCCTAGTCATTAAATGAGATGATGAGATGGATATGTTGAGTTATATAATGCTATGTTTAGCATAAAACTTGATATCCTGATGAATTGTATATCTTTTTGGAACATAAAATGCATCCAACGAAGACTACAATAATTACATAAACTAACAACAACTGCGTTATTTTTTACGTTTATAAGAAATATCAAATTGTCTATCTAATCTTATGTAACCCAATATATCAATCTCATCAGACATCAACTCATTTTCTGCCCTTTTTTCTTGGAAACATACATTTTATTGGTTTCATTGCTGACGTAGATACATAATCATCAATGAGCCGATGAAATGTGTATCAAATTTTATAGTAAATGTGGCATTATATAACCCATCGTATTCATCTTATCAGCTAATTTAATGACTGAGTGTGTTTAAGTCAGCAATGAAACCGATAAAATGTATATTACATGAAGAAAATGGCCAAATCATCAGTAAATTTTATTTTGGGACTTATTCACAAATTAGGGTAAAATAATGGACTTTAGTGAAACATTTAAGTAATAAATCGGTAAACCAGAAAAAAGGAGTCAAATCGCCATTTTTACCGGTAATTCATGGTTTTTCGTAAACAAATTTTTAGTTTGGGACTTTTTCGTAAATTAGGGTAAAATTTTAGAACTTTTCTGGAGATTTCTCATATTATAATTATATGTCGTTTTAAAATGTTTCGGTTTTTGAAAACCGAATTATAAAAATCGATCCAACCGAATTGTAATTGGATCGGATCAGATTGGATTTGAATTTAATTTGGACTATTTGGATCCATGTTTTGAAAACCGAAATCAATTTGGATTCACTTGATTGGATCAGATCAAACCGATTCATCTAAACGAACACCCCTAGTAATGGTAATGGTGGAGTTGTTGGAAGAATAATTTTTTTTCATATATAGATTATTTATTTATTGATTTATTTATTTGCAATTGTAGGCATATACAATGGAACTTGAAGCAGAAGTATCGGAATTGAAACAGAAGAACCAAGAACTGAAACGGAAACAGGTTAAAGCATATCAGATTATACGAGTCATTATTTTTTTATTATTTTTTATAAATTACGACTTTGAATTCACATAACTCAAATCTTGCAGGCTGAGCTACTAGAAATGCAGAAAAATCAGGTATGCAAGAAAAAGTTTTACAAAACAATGGCATGCTAGTTTTCTTTTTCTATTTAGTCTTTATTATATTTAGCAAAGATAAATGCAACAAATATGAACATACTTTTTATTGATTTGATTATTGTTGCATTCTATATTTATTTATTTTTTTAATACAATGTTATATTATCAAAAAGTCTACTCACTTATAGCAATGTTATCCAAATATTTTACAGTTTTATTGTTGTAATTGGGTGACTTTTTCAAAATATAATGATCTAATAAGAAAAGAATTACAATATAATATAAGAGTAGTCATTTGTACACAATAATTTTTAGTCATACATAACAATTTATGCTTTAGATAGTTGTACTGTATAACTGTGTAAAGCACAATTTGTTATGTATGACTAAAAATTATTGCGTACGGATTATCACCCATAATATTATAAATAAGTGGATTTTTCAAAGGACAATATAGATAAAAGAAAGTTAAAAGTACAATGAATGGGAAAATATGATTTTATTACAAGTAAATAAAAGTATGATGCTATTTATTGCATTTAGCCCAGGTAATAATACTATTAAATTTGTTAAAATTGTTTAAAATTGTTTAAAATATATAGTACCATCGTTGTTTTCCCTAGATTGACCATGCATATAACAAGATCAAACAAAAATGTATAAATTTCAAATTATTTAATGAAAAATTTGTTATTATTTCAAATTCATTTGAAAAAAAAAATCTATATTAAATGTTTTGTAATGTTAGGAAAGCATGTGTTACATAACTTAAGAGAACACAGTTAGACATTCTCAAAAAACGGGAGGTTTTAAAAAACAAAGAGCTTAAAATAAAAGTATATATTTTAATAATATATCTATAATGTGTTGTCTTTTTCTCCTTCTCCTTTATTTCTTCATAACGTTTTTGGTAACTTGTAACAATAGAATATGAAAAATGAGGGTTTAAATTGTGGCTATATAGGTCTTTTACTTAATTTTGGTTAAATCTTAGAACAAATTAATAAAATTAGGCTAATTTTTTTTTCTCAAAAGACAGCGGTCACCTAATATAACATTAAATTGGTGTTGTTAATAGCAGGTTATGGAGATGATGAACATGCAACCAGGGACAAAACGACATCGTCTAAAAAAAACACTTTCTGGGCCATGGTAAATAGTGTTTATTTATGTACCCAATCATCAATTGGTGCATGTAAATAATAAATATATGTTTTCGTTAGGTAAAAAAGTCAGTTCCTTATACTACATGAAGTAGAGTAGTTAAAGTTATAACAGATAATATATTAATATATTAGGTAGTAGTGAAAAGATTGATTACACTGTGTGTAATCCATTTGTTTATTTTGTTAGGATGATGATTAGTTATGTAAAAGAGTGTGGCTATTTTGTTTTTTGCTTTTTGTTTTTTTAATGTCATTAGTTATGAAATTAATAAAGACAAAATTGTAAAAATAGTGCATGTGTATGCATTTTTTTGGGGTTTTAGTCCAATAACTTTCGGATTGGTGGTCATTTTGAAGTAGTTTACATGCAGTTTTGGTCCCTGTCCAAACTACAATGACTATTATACCCTTAATGAATTTAGTTTTCATTTTTCTTTCACTTTTTAAAATTATTATTATTATTAAATATAAAATTATTATTATTAGTAAATATAAAAGGGAAATATGAGACCCACTTCGTTGGTCTTCATCGATCTCGAATGGTACGAACGGAGTAGACCAAAATTGAAACGAATGTGGAGATGGTTGTTCTTACTGCAGCAGGAGGGCGGCGATAGTCGGAACTTCCACAACAACAGTGGGAGGTGGCGATATAGCAGTGGCAGCCGGTGGTGATTGCACTCACGGCGACAACAACGATTGGCGGCAGCTCCACCGCTTCCTTCCTCTCCTCCGACTGTGAACTACGAGTGGAGAGAGTGCGGGGTGACACTGGTGATGGAGGGGCTGTGGTGGTGCAAGATAGGGAGGAAATGGGTGGAGTGGCGGTGTTTTCTTGGTGGTATGTGACAGAACAATAAAGTAAGGTGGTGGTTCGACGGAGATGGTCGGCGGCAGCAGCAACGTAGAATGACGGTGGTGGTTGACTCCTCAACAGCAGCGATGGGGGTGGCAAGTGGTGGCAGCACAGCGGTGGTGGCTATCTCCAACAACAGTGGCGACGACAGCTTGTTGCCTTCGTTCTCTTCGTTTGCCGGCAATAAATGAGAGGGGGAGAGAGGCGGTAGAAGGCAACAGATGGTCGGAGAGGAGTAGTTCTGAAAGCAACAACAAAGATGGGTGGTGGTGGCTTACGTCGGCGATGGGTAGCAGCTACGCTGCCCGGTTTTCTTCTTCCGTATACATTCGTTGTTGTAGTGTCATCGAGAGGAGGGTAGTGGCGAGTTGCATGTGACGAGAAGGAGGTTGTGGAGGGTGGTGAACGACAGCAGAGGTCGCAAACGGTGGTGGGTTGTTACAGCCGGCAGCTCGCCGGTGTCATTGTCTTCGTCGGTGGAGTACGAATGAGTGAGAGGGGTCACAAAGATGACTGATGAGGTGGTGACATGGGTTTCACCCGTGAGAGAGAGAGAGAGAGAGAGAGAGAGAGAGAGAGAGATTTGGGCCAAATTAATCAATTATTTTCTTTTTCCTTTAAATTAAATAGAAAAAATATAAAAAAAATATATCAGAAGGGCATTACAGTCATTTCAGTTTACCGAGGGACCAAAAACGCAACGAAACTACCTCAAAAGGACCACCGATCCAAAAAAGTCGTGGTTTGGACTAAAACAGTAAAACCCCAAAAAAAATCATACCACAGCGACCATTTTTGCAAATTCGTCACTAATAAAAATAAAGAAAAAACATCATAAATGGTCCCTGTGGTTTCACCAGATCTGAAGTTTAGTCCCCGTGGTTTAAAAACATCATAGATGGTCCCTGTGCTTTCAAAACTTTTGACGATTGGTCATTATTGCTAACTCCATTAAGCTTGGTTCGTTAACTGAAGGGCATTTTCATCATTTCACTACCACAGGGACCATTTATGATGTTTTCACTTATTTAAATAAATAATATGCAAATGGGTCTCTCTCTCTCTCTCTCTCTCTCTCTCTCCCTCCCCCAAGACTTCTGCCACTTCCCTACTTAGATTTTTACACTAAACATCTACTTTTCTCCACCGCCGACAACCACCACCCTCATGACGGATCCTGGTATCATATTGTTTGGCAAGAAGATCGGGTTGTTGGAAACCCCCAAGATTTCCGATTCTCCCCCCCCCCTTCGCCGTCGCTGATGGTGGTGATAATGGTTTTCAGACGGACGACAGCCCGAAAACTCCATCTATTGATGAAGACAATTCGCCAGAGAAACACCAAACCACCGGAGGTCTAAAGAAACCTGACAAGATTCTCCCTTGTCCTCGATGCGAAAGCATGAACACGAGTTTGTTATTACAACAACTCGAACTTCAACCATCCACACCATTTTTGCAAGAGTTATCAAAGGTACTAGACTGCCGGAGGCACGATGAGGAATATGTCGATCGGAGCAGGTCGCCGGAAGAAAAGAACGCTTCATCGGATTGTCATTTCATTATCTCCCACGAAGCTTTTGATGTGGGACCTCAGATTGAATTCGCTGCTGATAATTCTGACTGGGTTTACAATACTTCTCGTCAACCAAAAGTTCTTTCCTTTACTCCAAATTCGCCGTTATGTCGAGGGAAAGAAAGCGGAGACGATTGTTCAAGTGGAACAACCACCGTTGTTTCTTCCAATTCCGTAGTTGAGAAACCACACGAGATTAACAGATTCCATTCTCAAGTTCATTGGATTCCTGGGACTCCATGGTCGTATAATCCATGGGTTCTAATGCAGATTCCGACAGGATACCCTCCGATTCCATTCTACCCTCCACCGTACTGGAATTCCGTTTCTTGGTTACCTCCAGTGACCTCTGCTCCAAACTATTCAATCCTAGGAAAACATTCATCAGATCGGGTATCAATTAACCCAATTAAGGAGCCAAAGAAACAGAAGAATTCAATTTTGATCCCCAAAACGCTTAGAATTGATGATCCAGATGAAGCTGCGCAGAGTTCTATATGGGCGACACTCAGAATCAAGAACGAAAACTGTATCATACGAGATATTTTCAAGGGGTTTCAAGCAAAAGGAGATGAAAAGAAGAAACAACCGACAGAACCTTCATTATTATTACAAGCAAATCCTGCTGCGTTTTCAAGATCGCTTTACTTTCAGGAAAGAGCCTAATGGTGATTGTACTCTTTGAGAGAGAGAGAGAGAGAGAGAGAGAGAGAGAGAGAGACCCCTTTGCATATTATTTATTTCTTTATTTATTTAAATAAGTGAAAACATCATAAATGGTCTCCTATGGTAGTGAAATGATGAAAATGCCCTTCAGTTAACGAACCAAACTTAACAGTGTTAGCAATAATGACCAATCGTCAAAAGTTTTGAAAGCACATGGACCATCTATGATGTTTTTAAACCATGGGGACTAAAATTCAGATATGGAGAAACCACAAGGACCATTTATGATGTTTTTTCAAAAATAAAAATAGGATAAACTTTCAAGTGTCAACGGGACGATGACAATTGTTTATTTATCTGAAACAAGAAAATTACAAGGTTAAACAGAATGAAGTTTGCAACTTCATGTATAGAAGTATAAATTCTTGGATATTCTTTTGTATGCGTAACATCCTAAGTTTTGGAATTTATTAAAAGAAATCTTTTTTCATGTTTAATAAGTATTATTGGGAAATAAAATTTAGGGTTTGTGAATTATGGAATAAAGTATATGAAAATGGAAAGCCTAATAATTTCAAATTGCCAGTGTGGTGTGTTACGACCTGTGGGTATTATATAATTAGGTTATAGCTCGTAGAAACCACAGTTACAAAAATAATTAAATTTTTATAACAAAAACTCATAATTATTAAACAATTATTTTCAAGAAATTATTAGTTAAGAGATTTTGTTTTGCTTATATAAAATTATAATCGTTGATTCAAATAAATATGTGAAATTATTTTTCAAGATATATTAGACAGTTTTTATTTGTGAATTAACGAAAAAAATAATGATATTGAATAATGAAATGCTAAATTGATTATAAAAATAAAACAACCATAATAAATGAAGTAACTTAAAATTGGTATATGGCAAACATTAAGTTGTTGAAATAAACATATATGAAAAAATATAACAAATTACAAATAAAAATTAACAATAAAGTCTTATTATAAATAATAATAAAAGATGTTATAAGATACCAGATTATTTTGCTATTGGTATATGGGCAACAAATGGGTATAGGGCAATAAATGGGATAAAATGTAAATAATGATGAAAAAATGAAAACAAAAACAGTTGACAAACTAAAATAACATGGATAATAACAAAATCATATTAGGTAAACATAAATTTGCAAACACTTCGTTGTAAATATAGTTGGAATTTTAATGTATTGGTTTCTACGAGAATTGATTTAGTATTATTGATCTTTTTAGCAGCTAACGGGTGATATAGACGTAGAAACCTGCAATATTATGAAATTTGTTTAGAACATCATGTCAAAACAATAAACGTTTTTGCTTAGAATACCATGTCAAAACAATATTGTGAAATTTTGTTAGAATATCATCTTAAAACAATAAACATTCTTGTGAAATTTGATCTATTATGGTTTGTGTATTATAACAACAAACTCTATTTCTCAGATATAGTAGTTTGAAATTTATTTCTCAGATATAGTTTGTGAAATTTGATCTATTATGTTCTTGTGAAATAACAACATACTTTCATTGTTTTGTGTATTACATCATCATACTTCTATTTCTTTCTATTATGGCAGTGCACCTTCAAAAAATTTATTTCTCAGATATAGTAGTTTGAAATTTTACCCAAGTATATATATATATATATATATATATATATATATATATATATATATATATATTCTCTATTGCTATATTTGGGTAGATTTTTTAAAATACAATGTTATAGTCAAAAAAGTAAAAATGGGATGCTATAATAAAAAATCAATGAAAGTACGTTGTCATTTCTTACATATAAAATTACGTATAATGGTTCAATTGGGAAAAATCATATATGTATTGGAATTGTTAGAGACATTGGTTTTGGTCTACAAGGGTAGCTTGTTTAGGTAAATGGTCAATATGTAGTTTGTAGACACTTGCATCAACGATAAAAATTTGTAATTAATAAGGAAATGAGTAATATTTTAGAATAACAATCACTAACATGGAATGAAATCTTGACTTCCTATTCGATGTTTAACATGGAATGAAATCTTTTAATTACCAACCTAACAAATACTGTTAGAATCCATGAACCAACGACCTCATGAAGCTCTTACTTTCAGATGGTTGTTTATTTTTCAAAACCTATTTCATTGGATTATAGGTTATTAGTATCCAAATGTGAAATAAGAATGGCTAAAGTACACCACCATGGAGTAATGTTTCTTTTTTGCTTCATCTTGAAATGTAACAAAAAAAGATGTCAAATAAAGCACTATTTAGACCAAATTTACTACTAACCTTAGATTCCACATCCATGATTGAGTGCAGTCTTACTTAACCTTCTTTATCATAACGAAGATTAAAGTTTTTATTTGTTTTGGGAAGACTAAACTGCAAATTTGGTCCCTGTGGTTAGCAAAAAATTATGGATGGAGTCCAAAAAGTTTCCAACTTGCATCACTGGTCCAAAATCACAAAATTTTTGTGGATTTGGTCCCTGAACAATTTGAAATGACTATTTTACCCTTTTGATTTGTTTTTTCTATTTTCTTTATTAATTTTAGTATTTAAATGTTTAAAAAAAATAAATAAAAAAATAAAATCCTACCCCATCCATCCCTCTCCACCGGTAACCTCTCTCTCTCTCTCTCTCTCTCTCTTTTTCTCTCTCCACTTGCAAAACCCTCTTTCTCTCATCGTCTTATTCATCCCTCCAATGACAAAAACACCTGGTAACATAATTTTAGAGCTACCTTAAAAAACCTTAAGCCAGCACTGTCATTGAAATTATTCCCTAGAACTGGAGAAATTTTTGATCTTAAATGGAATTCCCCTAAAAACTGATTCTCATGAAAAATGGGGTCAATCTTCTAAAGCATCTTAACCCACCCTCCCAATTCGTAAACCCCACCCCTCCCTTTCTTTATTGGGTTCAGCACACACAAGAACAACCACGAGTTAAAACACATATCTGCAACACCTTCCGGTGGTGAACTTGAGTCACTGTAAAGAGTCAGAATTTGCATGTTGGACCTTCAAGAAATTGAATCAGAATCTGAAGATTGGGCCTTCAAGAAATTGAGATATGGAAATAATGGTGTTGAACAAGTGTTTGAAAATGAGAGCTTCATCACATACATACACCGATGAACACAGAAATTGACACCACCTGAGTATCTAAAAACCCTAAAATCTCGGATCTGAACAACTACACATACATTGATGATCGCTTCGCTCTTGGAGGTTTACCGAATGAAAACCTAGCTCCGACGGTGAAAATCCTTTGCTGGAATGAGAGACTCAAGAAAGAGAGTATTAGAGGGAGGTGCTGGCTTATCAATGTTCTCAATCTGGTTTATCAGTATGTATGTATGCGTGTGTGTGTGTGTGTCTTTGTTGAATCAGGAAGAGAGAACGAGAGACACAAGAGAGAGAGGTGTGTGTGTGCACATATCTGTGTTTAATCTGCATCAATTTTTCCAAAACTTCATTATGTGTGCTCATATGTGTTGAATCTGCATAATTTTTTCCCAGAACTTCATTGTGTTCATAGTTTATGTGTGTGTATCAGGGTATGATTATGAATTAAATCAGTAAGAGAGGGGTAGGGTTATCGGCGTAAGAGGTGGGGGTGGGAGGGGTGCTGATAATATTTTCTTTTTGCTTATTTTTTCAATTACTGAATTACTGAAATACATAAAAAAATGGAATAAACAAAATGGAAGGTTAAAATAGTCTTTCTAAGTAATTTTAAAATTTTCAGGGACCAAAACCACAAAAAGTTTCAGCTTTTGGACTAATGTTGCAAGTTGAAAACATTTTGGACCTTATCCATACTTTTTGGATAACCACAGGGACCAAAAATGCAGTTTTGTCTTTTGGGAATATAAACATCTCTTACAAAATAAAAAATAACATATGTATTAAAAAAAAGATAAATTGGAATATTGGATTAATGGAACACAAGTCAATAGGCCATTTCATATTTGTTCTATAATTCCATCAAAGAGTTCAATCATGCAAGATAACTCTAGATCCATAGAGAAAGGATGAAAAGCTAGGTTAAATATCCTTACAAATGATTTAGCAAAATGATTCCAGAGATTGGAGAGTGTTGTTTGATTGCTTCTTGCACCCAATCTTCTCCTACTTCCTTTAAAACCACCAAAAAAGGCTTGAAAATGAGCTCAAGAGCTTCAAGGTGGGTTAGGGTTAGCTTTTGGGGCTTGAGAGTGATGGAGGCTGAAGATGGCAACCCTAGCCTCCCCACTTTCCTTTAAATACCCGAAAAAATAGGGTTTCCACGACAGAGGGTCGCCACGTTGTGGCCAATATATGCCACATCGTGGGGATCATTAAATGATCTGAAAACTTCCAGCATCGCCACGTCGTGGGATGCCTTCACCACGACGTGGTCACTCCCAAAATCCAAAATACATTAAAATTAAACACCTCAAAAAATATGGATGTTACAATACCATACTATACTTTTAGTCTGGCATGTTATTTTTCTTTCATCTTATAAAATTTATTGTCACACCCCCAAACCAGAACGGCGGAAACGTCTGGGGGTGGGTGACTTCATGTACAGTATCATAACAATTGAATATTAATGATCAAAGCCATACAACCGTCATAATGATAATTTATAAGTTTACATTGTATTCAAATCATTGTTTGTTTGACATCAAATACATATGACAAAAATATATGACGTGATGTTGCAACGCTCCATCCTCAAAAAAACGTTTTGATTACTTGTTTACTGATTTTTCTGAAAATACAAGCAGTTTTGAAAAGAAATGTCAACAATTAAGTTGGTGAGTTCATAAGAGTTTTGTATGAAAATGATTGGTAACTTTTCCTTGTAGAAATGATAGAGTGTACTTTCAGAAAATCCAATATTTTCTTTAAAATGAGCTATAAGCCTTAAATCCAAAGACTAAAAATGTAAGTAATGTTGTATTGGAAAATAGTATTATG